CGGTGGCAGCCATGGCAGCTCATTATAAGAATTATGGACACCAGCAGTGGCAGCCATGGCAGCTCAGTTAGCTCATTATAAGAATTATGGACACCGACGGTGGTAGCCATGGCAGCTCATAATAAGACTTATGGACACTGCCGGTGGCAGCCATGGCATAACTTTATAATAATCATGCAATACGGACACAATCATTCAATCACCATAAACTAGAGCGTAACTCACCATAAGGAAGAGCGGGTTCATATGTTCAGCCATGGGGCGCTATATAGAACTCAAAACTAATATACAAAATAGAGTCTCTGTGTCGTGAAGCACTCAGTCTTTAATAAAGAATATCCATAGACTGGTAATAGTATTTTCAATGAATCATTCTTAATAAAGTAGAACTCAAAACTAATATACAAAATAGAGTCTCTGTGTCGTGAAGCACTCGGTCTTTAATAAGGAATATCCATGGATTGGTAATAATATTTTCAAATAATCGTTGTTAAAGAAGAATCAGCATGGATTTCCATTCGCTAAAAAAAGGTCTGATGTCTGCAGTGATTGTGACGATCTGCAAAAATAAAATTTAATTTTTGGTCGTACCTGATTTTGAGACAATACGAATGCGAAAAAGATGATAGATTTTCAGTTGTAAAAACCCACGTTTTTATAATTGAAAAAACACATATTGATGCCGATAAAACGCACAAAATTTGTTTGAATTTTAATGTGAAAATACTATATACTGCATACTAGATACCATATACTATATAATGTATACTGTATACTATATACTATATACCATATACTGTATACTAAATACTATAGGTATACTGTATACTATACTGCATACTCATTTCAACTGGACATTTCGGACTACACGATAATTCCATCTCAATAATATTGAAAACTATCTTCACTTGATAAGATTCACTGATTTCAATCATTTACTAGCTAGAAGCGATGCAAATTTTAGCTTGATAATAATGATTTAGATTTCAGTTTTATAACCTCGGAATAGATTTTATCTTAATAATAGAAATACTTTAAATTGATAATATTGATAAATATTTTAAATTGCTAATATTGACTTACATTAACTTGCTAATAAAGACACTGCATTTGACCAAATAATATTTATAGGATATTAACTTGATGAAATTGATGAGAATTATTTTAAATTGAAATATCGATCGATTTAACCATTATAAAATTGACAAGAAATCCAAAAAATAAGTATCAATACAGATTTTAACGAGGTGATATATATACGCAAATTTATACTTTACAATGTTGACAAATATTTTAACTTGATGATTTGAGCCTAATAACGTTAGCCGATTTTGCTTGCTAATGAAGATTTATTATGAACACAACCATCGGCAATTTTGAAATCCTGTTGAAAAACAAGGAATCATATTCTGGTATACTGCTGCACAAGCAGCTTAAGGCTCGCTCGAAATAATCAGTCAAAGTTACCAGTTGAACACGAGCTATTCATTGCCCTGTTGAGAACAGATTCGTACAAGATTTTTGTTCAAATATAGAAGCTTTGATTGAATTGCAGATGATAACTTAATGCGTTCACTACAGCCAAATATATGCACCGTTTAGCGCTGCTTCTGTACGAGACTTGCGGCAATTACTGCAGAAGTTTATTCGTTTATATTACTCAGTCGTTATTAAGTCCTTCGATTGACTTAACTTAATAACATGATAAAGTTGTTTTGGTTTCACAGTAGATCATCACAGATCGAGAATATAGAGATTTATCAACGTAGCATCATGAATTTGCCGCAACTGCCACAAACGTTACCAGAAAATTGTGAGACCCCAGCAAATAAGCAGCACGGTTCAACACCGGGCGAAGTTTAACTCAGGTTTACACTGACTCCAGAAATTCTTTGATGAATCTACATCACATTCAATAAATACTTTTTTTTCTATACATATTATTACACAACAGAGACGAGACACACATTATACGAGACCAGCACAGAAGTGAGACACAGTATAGGCTGAGGGCGTCAGGGTCTCGACTCATGGCCGCTGTTGGCAGCAGCGCGGTGCGGTGAGGCGGGCTAATAATAACGTGTATTATACGTACCGGCGCGGGGCTCTAGCGTCATCTCTTAACTCCAATGATGAACCGGCCTACGAACACGTGTAATTGCTGTAAATGGCCATGAGGTGATTTGCTGGTATTAACACCTCTGATACCCGGCAAAGTATCAGTAACACGTATATCAGGACCAGTATCGGTAACCCTGATACCAAGCCAAGTGTCAGCACCACGTATACCAGGCCAAGTATCAGTACCACGTATACAGGACAAGTATCAAAAGTATTTCGCCATGTCTTGCTAGTTACAATTCACCAGCACCGCAGATTTAATAACAGCGACGATGGCTGCGTGAGCTCAGTAGACTTCAGACCAGATGGGCATTACACTTTCTTATGATAATTGCGCGTTTCGAAACACCGCTACTTTAAGAATGTACTTCGTATCATCGTCAAGTTTGAGTCGCTACGTAAGATTGTTGCGATAATGTACCATATTATGTACATATATAATTAATGTACTACACGATAATCCATCCTTACTTACCAGCAAGTGCAAGTACATACTTTTAAGACTTGATTGAGTACACGTAGCGACCAAATTACATGCATAGGCCGAATTACACGTAGCAGCCGACTTTTCATCTTTGATTGTGATATTTAGCTTGAAAATACGGCACTTATTTGGCCAACGATGTAATGAACTTTTAACAATTTTCGATAGCGTGTGGCTCAATGCCAAAAATTTTAAATTGCTTGTTTAAATCGGACTAAAATGAGTACACTAGGAACATATGCGCGCGAGAGAAACACGACGCATGGGTCACGAGAGAAATTTATGCGCGTCATGCGCAAGCGCAATCCCAGCTTCTGCGCCGCGACCGCCACGTGCGTTGTAATATTCGCCGTATTTGTATATAGTCGCACGGTTAAAAATGTTATGATTACACACGTATAAACGTATATAAGATATAGTTACATTACCCACGTATACGTATAAAAGGTTAACAAGGTTATGGTTACACACGTATATACGTATACAAGGTTAACAAGGTTATGGTTACACACGTACACACGTATACAAGGTTAACAAGGTTATGGTTACACACGTATACATATAAAAAGTTAACAAGGTTATGGTTACACACGTATAAACGTATATAAGGTTATGGTTACATTGCACACGTATACGTATACAAGGTTAACAAGTTTACGGTTACACACGTATATACGTATACAAGGTTAACAAGGTTATGTTACACACGTATACATATAAAAAGTTAACAAGGTTATGTTACACACGTATACATATAAAAAGTTAACAAGGTTATGTTACACACGTATACATATAAAAGGTTAACAAGGTTATGGTTACACACGTATACATATAAAAGGTTAACAAGGTTATGGTTACACACGTATACATATAAAAGGTTACCAAGGTTATGGTTACACACGTATAAACGTATACAAGGTTTACAAGGTTATGGTTACACACGTATACATATAAAAGGTTAACAAGGGTATGGTTAGACACGTATACATATAAAAGGTTAACAAGGTTATGTTACACACGTATAGGTATACAAGGTTAATCTGCTGTTGCTCGAGATAGATGATTTTGGAGATTTAAGAAAGCATTAATAGTTTTCAAACGTAATTATATAGTGTTGTTGAAAAATGGCCGGTAAAAACTCACGTTAATCGTGTTATACATACACACAGGACTCCAGTTTTGAACTCCATGTAGAATATTTATTTTTTCATAATTTGAATAAAATTCTTGTTTTTAAGAATTCCAAAATAATGTGTGCATGTTAAATATACACCGAATTGATGGGCGATGTCGAAAAGCGCTCAAATATCCTTTATATATTTCCAACTGCCAGGCTGCAAATACCGATCAAATTGTAAAAAATATATTAATATTTTGCCATAAGCGTCCCCAATGATCGCACAATCGGTAAATAATATCTTCAAATTCATAATCAGGGGCTCGACAGTTGCCATCTCCGCGGCGGTGGCAGCTGCCAGCAAGACCGTGTGCGCGGCGGTGGCAGTGATGTGGCGGTGGCAGCTGCCAGCAAGACCGTTTGCGCGGCGGTGGCAGTGATGTGGCGGTGGCAGCTGCCAGCTTGTCAAGACAGCTCAAGCGCAGCAATAAACTATACAATAAACGATGGCAGCAACAGCGGCAGATGACAGCGACAGAATGCACCCAAATTCAACAAGCGTAACCATTGATTATTTGCATGGCCGCCTCACGATAAACCCTAGAGGCTTAGCTCGGCCTATGATGGGTTTATATAAACGTAATAAAATAGAAAAAAATATTCTGAACCCATATTCTATACCCCCTATTACTACTACAGGGTAATAGACACTATGGAGGGTTTGTATGGCTAATTTCTAAAAAAATGAATTAAATAGAAATAAACAGGAATGAATTTACATTCAATCATGAAAAACAAAATATATCGTATTAAAAAGTGATGAGATATTGAGTTCTGCGAAAAGAATGAATGTGAAATAAAGAGAAGCCCATTCAATATATCACGCATAATAACAATAATAAATATAGATAAGACTCAACATTATATAGAAATAATAAAATAAGACTCACCAAACTCTTAAGCTTCTGTTCGTCCTGTTCACTGCTGATGTCCACACCGTTCACCAGCACAGTCTCCCCTGCAGCCTCCTGTTGGCACAAACACTGTTTACTTTCGGGCAAACACCGCCACAAAAATCAGCACAAACACCGCCACAAAAATCAGCACAAATACTGCCACAAAAATCAGCACAAACACCGCCACAAAAATCACCACAAATACCGATTAAAAATTCAGCACAAACACCGCCACAAAAATCAACACAAACACCGCCATAAAAATCAGTAGAAAATCGGATTGAAATATCAGCACAAAAATCGATTCAAAAATCAGCAAAAACACTGCCACAAACGGTAATTTTGCAAGACAAATTAAATAGTGCATTAATATGGGTATTTGACAATGTGATGGGTATACGACAATGTGATGGGTATACGACAATGTGAAGGGTATACGACAACGTGATGGGTATACAACAATGTGAAGGGTATACAACAACGTGATGGGTATACAACAACGTGAAGGGTGTACAACAACGTGATGGGTATACAATGTGATGGGTATACAACAATGTGATGGGTATACGACAATGTGATGGGTATACAACAATGTGAAGGGTGTACAACAACGTGATGGGTATACAATGTGATGGGTATAAAACAATGTGATGGGTATACGACAATGTGATGGGTAAACGACAATGTGATGGGTATACAACAATGTGATGGGTATACAACAATGTGAAGGGTATACAACAACGTGATGGGTATACAACAATGTGATGGGTATACAATGTGATGGGTATAAAACAATGTGATGGGTAAACGACAATGTGGTGGGTATACAACAATGTGATGGGAAGACAAGAGTATTTTGGCGTTACTAGAATGAATGAAACGAAGATGGGAAAACACTAAAATTCGCGACGAAGAATTAAAAAAAATAATTCACACAGATTAGAATGATATAGAAACAGTGACAGATTAGAATGTTAGAAATAACAGTGATATTAGCAGTAAAACTCAATAAAACGATTATTATTAATTGGATGATAAAATTTATACGGTACCTTTTGAAAGATAAACTGATCGATAAAAGGCAAAATTAAGTTTGAATTAGAATCCGTTCTGAATTGTATGAATTATTTTTAAGTTGTACCAACTATTTGTATAATTGAATTTGTGTACAGAAGATTTTGCTGGTCACCTGAATGTTTTCAGTGATGATATTGTGTATTTTCTAGCTTTTTATTTTCTGTTGAACTACAGATCAATTGACAATTTTAGCAATCAAATTATCTTGATACCCAAAACTAATCAGTTGAATTGTTTTTATTTTGTAAAGGTTGGTAATTGGCACTTAGAGTTTTGCATCTGCAAAATATAGCACGTATTATAAATAAAACTTAGAGAGTGAGAGATTTTATTTAGATTATGTAATATTTCATTCTACTTAAAAAGTATGGTGACCAGTCATCTTTGCAATTTATTTTAATTTTCCCTACATAAGCGTTTTCTCTGACACCTCTCATAAGTCTACGGACATTGCAACCAGCAGTTAAGTTACTCGTCAGAAGCGATTCAGTCATGCTTATAAAATTATGTCTGTAAGTAAAAGTTAAGCCAATTCTTGCTATTTTAATCCCGAAAATGCTTGTACGTGATATAATTTCATATAAACTTCTTGCTTTATCGCTTCTCTATAATATATAATATCAATGACGCGCACCAGCAGTCCAGCAGCATGGATCATAATTTTATTCCATCGAGCAATATTTACCGATGATAGCTGAAAGTGTTGAAAAATAACCCGCTTACTCAATGATCTAACCCTAGGGGCACTACTTGCGGTCACAGCAATCTCAAGCAAGACAAAACGATATGCGTGATCAGTCAAAATTCAGATTAGAATAACAATAGAAACATAAAAGGACGAAGTGCTACACGGTGGGTTTTCTTTATTTAAGACTCTTTACTATACAATGAGTTACAATGGAACCAATTAAAGCACTGACAACGTTTATTGCACTTTTTACCATATTCCACGTATGATAACCTTGTTAACATTACATGTTACAGAAACCAGAACCTTATTTGCCGGCCATCATCAATAAACTCTACGACAACGGTGCGAAATTAGCGTTAACCAGCCAAGTACAACCTAGGTGGGTGACAAGTGCGTTGAATTAATTGAGTAACTAGTGGGTAGAACTTGTATGGGTGACTAGTGTGTTGAACATTTATGGGTAACTAGTTTGTTGAACTTGTATGGGTAACTAGTGTGTTGAATATGTATGGGTAACTAGTGTGTTGAACATTTATGGGTAACTAGTGTGTTGAACATTTATGGGTAACTAGTGTGTTGAACATTTATGGGTAACTAGTGTGTTGAACATTTACGGGTAACTAGTGTGTTGAACATGTATGGGTAACTAGTGTGTTGACCTTGTATGGGTAACTAGAGTGTTGAACTTGTATGGGTAACTAGTGTGTTGACCTTGTATGGGTAACTAGTGTGTTGAACTTGTATGGGTAACTAGAGAGTTGACCTTGTATGGGTAACTAGAGTAGTAACCTTGTATGGGTAACTAGTGTGTTGACCTTGTATGCGTAACAGTTGTGGAACTTGAATGTGGATAAATAGTGTGTTGAACTATCTGTATGTAAATGTTTTGAACTATGTGTAGCTAACTAATTATTTATCCCAAGAGGGGTAACCGTATGTTCCTTGGGCGGGTAACTGGTGATCGGAACTATTTAGCGAGTAACTATGAATTATACATCAGTAAACTAGCTACTCCGTAGTTTCTTTATACAGTTAAGAACTGATGCCAACTTGCCCTGAAACCGTTACCTAGAACTCAGCCAGTGAGTTAAAAAAAGTAGCAGCAAGGCAGCAGGAAATGGTTACAAGAAATATTTAGGAAAACCCAATGACAACCTCAACATCGGGAGAAAACCCCAAGTACAACGGAAATGGCTTTCAAACTAAACAAGAAGATACTTAGGCTTTTGAAACGGGCGTTCAATACACAGTTAAGAACAGTTGTTCATAAACTTCCTTGGTAATCCCGCACGTTGAGCGAATGGGGATTTTCGAAATTTCCCCCCCCCCCCCCCAGCCCCTGTCGCTGTCGACCTCGCCCATGTCGTCCCAATAAAAAATGTTGAGAATAACTTTTCTTCTAGTTTGTCGTTCCTCCCCCCCCACTTTAAATGTACACACACTCCCCACCAGTGGGGCTAGCTTTACCCTTTGGTACGAATTGAATGAGTGACGTTTAAATAAGCTAATGTATACGTACTCAGTTTTACTCAACAGGTGTTATAACTTTTAGAACTTCTATACCTCCGGTTAACGAGGCATTGACATCAATTGAAGCGTGAATTTCAAAAAATAAGTATTGAATTTGGAAGGGCAAAGTAAAAAGTAATATGCAAATTATTCAGGTATCCATCCTTGGTCAGCTGTGCGGGCTCATGATATTTAAGTTTATTTTCAGCATAAATTCGATGCACGGAACCCGCAAAAGCATGATAAGTTGAGAACCGCAACATGATTCGCGAAAATCAAACGGAATAGAAAATTTTCGAATAAGTTTTCTTTTTTCTTTCTAACGGAAATGTACCACCAATATTGCAATGATTAAACTCAGAATGTATTAGGTGGTGCAACCAAGCATGCAGTGAAGCAACCAAATGACTCTCCATTGCAATTACTGGCACCATTTAATGAGTTTAAAATAAACATATACTTTGACACCCCCAGCTAGTGCATTACCTTTTAATATGTTTCTTTAATAAGTAGTTATAGAAGACAACGTAGACTGTACCTAATATATTCTCTAGACTAGTGTCAGGGACTATTACTTACACTTATACCTATCTTTACTACTAACGCAACCTATCTTACTACCTATAACTAACCTCTCATACGACCTCCACCTATATCTACCTTGCTACCAGCATCTACTATATACCGATATAAGGATGTAGCTTGTACCATGACGGTGAAAATCACCACTCACTGTTAGACCAGCATATATTTTGAGAATCCAGACCACAGCATATTGAGAATCCAGACCACAGCATATTGAGAATCCAGACCACAGCATATTGAGAATCAAGACCACAGCATATTGAGAATCAAGACCACAGCATATATTTTGAGAATCTGAAAACTTCCAACCCGATTTTTTTCCTATTTAGTTCCTCTCCAGGACTATCATAGACTCAACCAAAAATTAAATCGAGTAATGAATATTTATTCCTTTTAGAATGATCGTACCGTACCTACAACATTTGAGCCAAAACGGTTTATCCCATTAATTTTATTACGATAAGCATTCACCACAATATCCAAGACACAAAGGTTTCTCCCTTTTGTTTAAATTGCAATAGCGCTCAGCACAAGGTTCAAGCCATAAGGATTCCTGCCATTAGTTTTATTTCTAATAACGCTCACAACAAGATTTAAGTCGTACAAATTTATAAATTTTATCTCAAATAGCGCTTACTAGAAGATTTTAGCCCTAAGGATGCCTGCCATTAGTATTATTTATAGAAGGGGTGAGCAGAAATAGTCTCGAGCGACAAGGCCATAGCAGCGCGACATGACTCACAGCTAAACGGGTATACGGACCAAGACTAGTGTGACAAGTGACGCTCGCCAGGCGTAATGACGCCCGCTGACATCACGGCCTGACTTAGTCACAACTCAAACATTCGTCGTTGATTATTTCATTGGTTATCATATAGGTTTTGTCGGCGAGTGTCGGGGTCGCAAGACGATGGTTTAAAACGGTGATAATTTCTATCTCCATAAGAAAATATCGAAAGGTAGCAGTATATAGTCTATAAATTATACCCAATTGTTTAATTTAAAATACATAAGTGAACAATTCAACGGCAGCAAATACTAGGAAGCTTTTTCATACATAAAATATCAAGATTTATCAAGTCTTACGTAACATGTCAACAAAATCGAAACAAATTCTGAAGAAAGAAGCAAATTGGCAGCAGGGCAGAGAGAAAAATTTAGTGCCGAATGATGCCAGAGCGAGCACTTGAAATAAGAGCTCGGCCTTCACGCCCACTCTAACTGACATCCAACTTGCAGCTATTCGTCCTAAACGAAGACGCGCGCGGGCAAAAATGTCGTTGGGGAGCGACAAGCTTCTGTAATAAATTGTGCAATATTATCGGTAATTTTATATCGTAGCCTCAGAATTTCGCAAGCCTCTACGTAAAATTCGACAATTCCTGACGCACCCAATTAACTTTTAGCTTCAAGATTCAATGTAAACGAGTCCGAAAAGACCTTACTTGAACACTGCCCGAGCAAATTTCCGGGCAGACTCGCGTAATGTACGAAGGGAACATACCGGTGACTGGTCCGCTTGCAATGGTTGCTATATTCAAATTTTATTGGCTATTGGACATAAGCACACCGCAATACCACAAAAAACCTAGGGAATGGGAAAGCCCAGGTAGAAAATTTGTAAATTTTCATATTCACTGCACTCGATTCATCAACTCCAGATTTCGACTTAAGATTTGACCGTTGAAGAGACCAGAGCGTCCGTCCGCTTCCGGAGCGGCAGCGCAGTTCTTCAGTTCCCGGGCATAGGGACAGCGCTGCAAATTGTTCTTTATTTTCAAGCGCATCAGTTAGCGCGTGAATGGAAGAAGCGCGTTGGATGAAGACCGGCGTGTAGGTGAGAAGAGCGTGTAGGTGAATGTTGAGGTAGCTAGCGTGTAGGTGAGGCAGGCGGTAGGGCGGCAAGCGTGTAGGTGAGGCGGGCGGTAGAGCGGCAAGCGTGTAGGTGAGGCAGGCGGTAGAGCGGCAAGCGTGTAGGTGAGGCAGGCGGTAGAGCGGCAAGCGTGTAGGTGAGGCAGGCGGTAGAGCGGCAAGCGTGTAGGTGAGGCAGGCTGTAGGGCGGCACGGCAGCGCCAGACAAGACAGTGCCAAAGTTTGCGAAGGCACTCAACAGGTGGCACAGCTGCTGGTGGCACTGCCACTGAGTGCATCAGGCGTCGCTAATATTAGAGTTCAGCCGCCCCACCTGCCGCTGCTTCTGTGCAATGCAAGACAACATCTTCTACCCAAAAAGAGCGCATCTATTCCTTACACTAATTTCAAACCCAGGTTCAATGAGTTTTTTGATCAAATAAAACCCGGAACAATCGTAAAAGCCTCTTTATCCTGTAATTTAAACGATTTTTAAGTAGATGCTACGTTTTCCCTGCGCAAAACCTCTTTTGTACAACACAGAGCAGATAATTTATTCCGTACACAATTGTTCTATACTTTTCCCAAAGCCCTAGTGTTTGTTTTATGCATCATGGTATCCCGCAAGGTATGTACTCTCTCACTGTAGTAATTAATAATTAATTAGCAATATAATCGATGATGAAGCACACAAAGAAAGTCAACATTCAGTGAAATTTTGCGCTGCATGGTTTTCAATTGTCCGGTCTATACGCAAATTTATTTCTCAGGTCGAACAGAAGAGGTTCTCCGCAAGAGTCAGTTTTGGGCTGTACAACCATAGTCTAACTTTGACTGTTGCTGATGTCACTGCATGTTTCCATTAATTTTCATAAGCCGATATGCATTTTTTGTCATGACAATCCTTTAGATTGATACGTCAAGGTCAGGAAATCGAAAACTCCGCAGGCGCATGCACAAGATGTAATTGAAAAATTGAAATGAAAAAGATTATTTGCGCGTTTCTTTCCACTCTACAACGAAATATTTGGAAGAGCAAATTTCATGATAATTTGGTGTGAGTTAGACAGTAACTGTATGACTAAATATGACTATAACACAATTAATGAATGGATAAACCAATTAATAACAAATTTAAAAGCAAAGAAAACACTAAAATCTTCATGAAAACGTTCCTTGCTCGGATGCGGTCTAACATGGTGCACGAATACAGTTGTGCGCGATGCGCATCAGCCTACGTCGGAATGACGCTGCGCAATTTCAACATCTGGGTTTCTGAACACCGCGGCAGTAGCTTACGTTCTAATACGCCACTTTAGAAGCCCTCTCACTCTGCTAAGCGTCTTCACGATAAACAGTTCGACGTGACTGTGTCAGAGAGCGATTTCTAGATTCTCGGTGCCACCTCTGCTGATTCGGAGCTATGGATTTTAGAATCGCTGCATACTTTTAAATTGAAACCATGTCTCAAGAACGTGTTCAGTTCCTATTCCTTCGAAATTATAAATAGTTAGCGTGTTCCTTTCTGTTCTCGTCACCTAGAATTTATGCTTTTTCGTGTATATTTGTATTTTTATTGTTGATTGTACTTGCATTCTTAAAGTTTTTTTTAACTGATGGAGCAGATCTTCAAAAAGTTTTCATGAAGATATGATGAATTTATTAGGCGTTTTTATTGCTGTAAAATTCTTTGTTAGCTTGCGATTTAAGCAGACTAATGACTATAAATACAATTAATAAATTAATGGATAATATAATTAATGAAGAGATAAGAGATGAGGTAAGCGACGTACCCTGAGCAATGCAGCAGCGCAGCCACGCTGGCACGAGGACGGCAGTGAAGTCTACAACCCCACCCCCACGTGACATCAACTCCCCACCCCCACGTGACGTTTACGACGCAATCCACTACGCAATATTTTCAATACGACGCAATCCACTTCACAATATTTTCAATACGACGCAATCCACTACGCAATATTTTCAATATGACGCAATACACTACGCAATTTTTCAGTACAACGCAATCCAAGACGTAATATTTTCAGGATGATCGTGACGCACAACGCAACTTTTTCAGTACGACGCAATCCAGTACGCAATAATTTCTGCACGACGTAATACACTAAACAATATTTTCTACACAACGCTATCCAACTCGCAATACTTTCGGTTTAACGCACTCAGTTACGCCTTATTTTCGGTTAAACGCAATCCACGACGCATTACGCAATCCACGACGTAGTGCGCAATCCGGTGCCCATTATTTCCGATACTACGCAATCCGATCGTTATAGATGTAACACGTAGCACCGTTCCGTGCTAGGCACCATATCACACTTGTTCTACTACCGGCACAACTATTCCGGCACTAGTTCACCTAATCAATGCGAAAAAGCGCTTATGACTATCATTAGAGGAGACGATCATTTGCCTAATGACGATCATTAGCCTACATTGCCGAGCAACACAACAAACGACGTTCATCGGCCGCAAGGTAGGCAGAGAACCTGACGTGTCATAGCAGCTCACCGGGGGCTATTTAACTCGTCTGCAGCAAGTTTCTCTAGTCTCGCACGCTGATATTAATTCATACAATCTGTGTTCGCAAAATCCTGATTATAACCGGCAAAGATCAGTATATCGTGAAAAAATTCTCGAATAGATTATTTACGCAAAATCAAATTTTTAAATTTAAAGCCACATTGGGGGTCAGGCGAATAAAACGCGCACGTTTAATTCCGAGCGTGCCACACCACGACAAAGATGCGCACAAAATCCGACAGCGAGCAGCCTCTCACCACGACGTTAGAACGGACACTGCAGGGACGAGCTCAAGGCAACCGCGTCGCGCAAGAATTTCGCCTTACAAGAGCACGCCGAACGTCGGCCAAACGCGAACATGCAGCGCTCTGCAGTCTTAGCTTTACGACATGTTAGCTTAATACGGTATTTCCTGCACGAAGTTCAACATTCATGGGTTATGTCTAAGGGCTGGAAAAACCATATCAAATCCAATTAAAATTCACCTCTTACTATTATTTGAATGCACCATTTTCCCCAAGAGTACATTTCTTACTCAAAAGTTGAGAATTATCAAACTGGCTAATAGTAAAGAGATGAAGCAAAAAAGCTTGCTATAAACATAATAATCTGTCTTATTTATGCACAGTATTAAACTATAACGATAGATGTTGAACGAATAGGCTCCATGGCGTAAATAATCACTTTTGGAAAAATAGCATTCAAGGCTGCATTGCGGAGGCGATTGTCCGTGGAGTTTTGACAGGCATCCAGTAAGAGAGAACCAATGAAGTTAGTAACTACGAAGAAAGTAAAATTAACCGTAAACGTACGATGTGCGCAACATACTGACAGTCTAAATTCACCCATAACATGGGAAAATGTACACAAACTACAAGTACGAATATAATAAAAGATTTTAGAAATTAGGGATATAAAATGAAGAAAATGTTAAACGAATTTTGATTCCTACTTAGGAATCAAAAATATATTGATAGTTTGATATGGAACAGTAACTACATTAATTATTAAATGAAAAAAATGTAAATCGACTGACCTTGACGGGGGCGTTCTTGGGGGAACGTCGCGCGTTACTGGACGACGACGAGAGTTTGGTCGTTACCGTCTGGCTCGTCCTGCTGTAAATAGCATCACAGGTTTGAGTTAGCATCGTCACCACCCTACCATGATTTACAAACTTCATTGCTACAGGAAAATATAATGTAATATATAGAGATATACGTTTACTACAGAAGAGTTTGAATGAACAAACATCACCAGATGTTTGTTCTACATCCCCATCCCCATCATCCCCTACAACATCCTTATCTTTTCAGTAACCGGACTACAATATTTTTATGGCTTTGTGAAGTGACTACTCCCTTTTTACGTTCATAAATCCATGGTTGTCATCATGTCGGACTCTCATGCATCCATAATATTTTATTCAGATCAATTAATGATGAAAAAAATGTGACTAACGTTTGGCTTTCTTCGCGGTCATGCACTAACATCAACAAATGATGCTGCATCATTCTACAAACATTTAATGATTTGCATGATATAATAATTAGATTACACTATAATGACTATATACATGCATCTCTATGCAGCAAGTCGACAGGCAAAACTATGAATTCAACTACTCAATTACAACATGGATACCGAAATTGTTCTCTGCATTCATTTTCCATGTTCGAAAAACAATGTAACTTTTTTAGCAAAGATTGATGAACTAACAGCGGTAACTGATGCTCTCTTTTCATGGTCTTCTCGATTTCTAGACGACTAGCGTTTTTATGGATGCCCTCAGTCATGTATGATTATGTTTCTACGCCATTCAAATGGCACTGAATGATATATCCAGCTCATCAGTACATGGCATCATTGCATAATTAGAAAATTTTCAAGAGGTAACTTCTCTAAAAATATAACCTGCAAAAGCCCTAGAGCGTTAGATATCTTTCCAACTACATTAGAACAACACAAAAGCTATAAATTAACAACATCCCCATCCTTCCAAAAACCAATCAACAATATTGATCGGTTTTTGAAGTGAATCCTCCCCTTTCACGTTCATAAATCCTTTTAACCCATCGTTCCAGCAATTACTTTGTATTATTTTCCAAAAATATTCCCCCCATTCTAGCGCATTTCCTCATTTACAGAAAAAATGCCCTATTGTGCTCGTCATGTCCGTCCGTCTGTCTGTCCGTGACTTCACGTTTTGAGAAAATGCGCTATCTGACACTCACTGCAATGAGTACTGAGTTATATTTTTCAAGTTTATTTAATATTGAAGTGCCGACACTCTCAAAAAATGCGCTCTCTGTCACTCACTGCAATGAGTACTGAGTTATACTCTTTAAGTTTATTTATTATTGAAATGCCGACACTCACGCTTCACCAGGACCGTTAGCCATCATGGACTCGACGCCGGTGAGCAGCACCTGCGCCCCCAGGAAGCGGTTCAGCAGACAGCGCGCCTGGTCGTCCGAGCTGCTGCCGTCTGCTGGACAAAAGTGTCGTTCATAAGTGATAAGCATGATAAGCTGTACCAATCATTAGAATTATCATTATCATCATTACACTTGTAATTATTTGATTATTAATTTATATCAGCATGTTTATCACTTATGAACGTTTCGTTGATAAGTGATAAGCATGATAAGCTGAACCAATCATTAGAATTATCATTATCGTCAATATACTAGTAATTATTTGATTATTATTTTAATGTTAATTCCAAGTGCCAAGTTCAACAGAAATCGGCGCGTGCTGGACGAACAAAAAAGTTTCGTTGATAAGTGATAAGCAAGAGAAGCCGCACCAATCATTTGAATTATCATTATCATATAAATAATAATTATCATTTAGTGATTGTATTGATTTTAGAGAAAGGCTGCGCGAATGGTCATCCGAACTGCTGGCGGCTGATCTGCAATTGTGTGTTAATAACAGTAACAGATATAATTTGAATATTTTAATAGCATATGAGTATGACCACGAAAAATTGATACGTTCACCCATCGCGGAGATACCTTAAAAAACAGAATCCTCCAAATAAATAAATAAATTGCCTTGAATGTACTAAATTGCCTTAAATATACTATAAACATAACCTTAGTCTATCACGGATGAACACATGCTATCATAGAGGCGTCAATACTGAGGCAAGGAGCAAATTTTGTAAAAATTTCTTTCGCGTAAATGAGGAGAAATGAGAATTTTTAAGCATAAACATCTCTTGAGACTCACTGGTTTATATCGAAAACGCGTTAGCTTCTAGCTTCTACGTGTCGTGTAGATAAATGGAAGACAGAACTAAAGTGTGACTTGGGCAACCTTTGGCAAAGCAATAAAAATTGATAACAAGTGAAAATAAAGAGAACACTAGCGCTCAGTGGACAATATGGTAAGATACGATCAGTGGACACGACCGGAAGATGCGATTGGAAGATACGATCAGTGGACACGATCGTAGGATACGATTGGGAGATACGATCAGTGGACACGATCGTAAGATACGATTGGGAGATAAGATCTGTGGACACGATCGTAGGATACGATTGGGAGATAAGATCTGTGGACACGATCGTAGGATACGATCTGTGGACACGATCGTAGGATACGATTGGAAGATAAGATCAGTGGACACGCTCAAAGGACGTGACCACAGGACACGGTACGAGTTTACACGGTCAGAGGCTGCGAGCAAATGCAGACGGCGGACCACCTATACCCTGCCTCAGCATTGCCATGACTCTCTAGATCTAGAAGCTCGCCTTGGGCCACAACTTTACTTCGAATTCAATGTACCGCCATTGCAAAAGGTTAAGCCCATGTGAAGAGAGAGATAACTAATATCTAAGTTAATTTGAAACAACTCCTTCGAACGAACAATGAAACATTTTTTCGTGAAAATGCTTCCGAGCTCCTTCTGGAAGACTCAATAAGTCACCCGATGAAGTCTTCAAGACAAGTCCGATGAAGTCTTTCAATTTTATCACATCTTGAAATTCACTGAAACATTTCTGCTAGTTTTACCGTGCAAGAAGCTGAAGAAAAAGGAATATCCTTGCCATTGATAACTCAGAAACGTCTAATTTTCTCTCCAATTACAACGGAGTGAAATTCAAACTCCACTCGCTGAGTCAGTAACGATTCCATTTGATTTACAAGGCGCGAAGGAAATTGCGATCAAACTAACGTATAAATTTTAATAGCGTTGCCCAATTTGAAGCATCCAATTTTTCTTACAGCTTTTAGGACTTGTCAAAGCCATACACCCGGAGAAATGAGTGGACCATTGTCAAATAAATACGCTGTAATTTTCTCATAGCTCAAGCAGAGATAAGAGGAAGCCTCGCTACGCCTGGTCAAAGTTGGAAAGGATGACATAAACACGGGTAAATTTATGGAAAAAACTTCATAGATTTTCGGACAACGGCGCCATAATTTCTGTGAGAGTAAAGGTGTCGCTAGTTTACAGCAGTGCCACCCTCATCTCACACAGCCACGCACCACACACGTATACAAAGATCTGAATGATCCCTCAATTAACAGTCACACGAGTGTGGCACATCACGTAGGTATAGCATTCAGAGTAAGAGAAGAATTATTCATGAGCATATGCATGAATCAGGCTATGAGTAAGAGAGAAGCCTAATAAAACCATCATCAACAGCATGAACATGTGAGTAAACTCAGGTAGGAACAGCATTGCGACAAACGAACCAGTTTGCCTCCTGAGTGAGCGCTGCTCAAGATAACAAGAGACAACAACGGCGGAGAGACCAGCGCCTGTGTACCCGAAGTCTGTTGATAACACGAGACTCGAACGCAGGTCATTGTTGACATCTGCAGCACCTGTTGACACCTGCAGCACCTGTTGACACCTGCAGCACCTGTTGACACCTGCAGCACCTGTTGACACCTGCAGCACCTGTTGACACCTGCTGCACCTGTTGACACCTGCAGCACCTGTTGACACCTGCAGCACCTGTTGACACCTGCAGCACCTGTTGACACCTGCAGCACCTATCGACACTTCTAACACAAGTGAACAAGTATCACCCTTTTCCTAACAGAGTTACAGCGACTAACTGTTCAGCAGTGCAGCAGGCGTCGCATTGCTCTGCTCTTGGGGTGAACGCCGGAGGCCATCTTTGCCCAACATCATACTTTCGTTTATATTCTTCTCCAAGAGTAAGGACGCTAGAGGGCATAGCAGCCTATAAAGTTAATTGCTCAAAGTCAGCGCCGTACGTTTACACTTTTTACAGCCACCGGCTAACCATGCCCAAGTTAAGCATGGTCATACTGCATCTGGCCAAACTTACACCGGCCTAACCTAGACACGTTGCAACATGGATGGACACGTCTTCACCCAAAACAAACATGAGCGGACCTAACCTAACTTAAATGGCTGCAGAAATTTAGAGAGGAGGAGCAAGTGAGCAAGCAGAGCCATTCGTTGGCTGCAAGAAAGTTGTGAGTCGGAGGAGCGTGAATAGGTTGAGCCAGAAGAAGTTAGGCCGAATGCTGAACTGCCCGCGGACTACACTTCCAGCGCAGTCATAGGTTTCTACCCCGGTGGTGAGTGAATTTTTTGCACTGATACTCCTAAACTAAATGACCGATCGTTCTGAAAACTCGTAAACATATGTAAATCAGTAAAAGAAAAACATTTTGCTCCTATGATTTTTTCAAGAAATTGAAAAAAGTGAAATTCATAGAACACGGCAAAAAAAGAGAGGTCCTTTATTAATCTATCTCCTCTTTCAATTTTCGTGCTACAACATCGAGAGGCATATCAATCGATTCGTAAAAATAATATCTACCGACTCTTGAAGCCCTTTTCTCGATTTTTAATACGAATTTTTCCATTTTCCCACATTTCCCCGAAATGTTCATTTTATAGAAAATCAAAACGGCCTCACGGAAGAACTATGCCAGTTTTTTGGCATGGGGTTTGTTGCTTTTGATCTGTAATAGTTCTCCATACAAAAAGAGATGAAAAAAAAACAGAAAACTTAATTTCTTCCATTTTGAGGGTGGACTCTCTCATTAAAAGTTTAATTTGTGGCCAACGGCTGCGCGCCCTTTTCCTCGCAGTTTCATTAGTTGTTAAACTCCTATCATTGTTAAGTTTATTCTGAATTTCTACTCTAAGAGAAAGTCAGTTTCGCGAATTATTCATAATAAGATACCTGTGGGTGTAGCCGCCATTCTTCCCATGACGTCACCGAAGCCAGAGACTTTGGAACGGTCATGCAAGAAACTGCGCGAGTTGTCCACAATTTGCACCCCCACGCGCATGTCGTCGTCATTGCCTCCTGAGACTTCATAGGAAGAGGATGTGCGCAGCGAGTGTGAGTTCATTACGCGTTGCGGTGAGCCGTAACCTGAAGTATTATCTCGTTATACTTCGTCTATTTCATGTACTAAATATGGAACATCATGAACGTTATTAAGAAATCCACACGTCATTAGCATGGTTGGGAACATGGTTAGTTAATTGACATGAAACGCATAAATATATCAAGATTTAATACACAATTTTTTTCGTACTACTGTACTAGATTCATTAACCACTTGATTAGTAATAACTTATTATGGATAATCACTCAGAATTAAACTAGCCTATTTCTTCTTCCTGTTAACATTTGTCATTCCTGAACATTTACACTGCACTGTAGCGCAGATATTCAAGTAAAGGCACAGTGAATTAGTTGGCTGTTTGAATTTTATTGTGGGCCGCATTGACTCGGGAAGTGCTGTGCGGCAACTGTTGCAAATAGTTGCCAGATCATCTCGCTTCAGGTAGAAATAACTTAAGTGATATAATAAATATTTCAGATAGTCCATGAAATCAAATAGTTCAAGAGACCTCTGTATTATTCGATGCAGTATGTAAATTTGTCAATTCTCCCTGGAAATCAGTACAGAAGATAATATTAGGTAGCATACGGCACGAGGATAATATAGTTTTGATTTTCTATGAAACTTTTGCAAAAAATAACGTAGTTCAGCATGAGCTTTTATAAATAGCAAATTGCTTTTCACATGAAATCGTTTTACAAGTAACTGAATGAACTGTTATACAAGGAAATAAATCCTGAAAACTATTTTTTGAAAGAAGTATCACCTGAGAAATCATAGGCATCAATTTATTCTAGTACTTAAGAATATACGAAAATGTAGATGATTCTTCGTTCTAGTGCAAGAATTAGGATGGTTACCGAGCAAAAATAATTCACACATTCCCCAAAGATTTAAACCGTTTTTGAACAAGTATGACATTGTTATCTGTAAGTTAGTTTAACTTGAATTAAATCATATACAAGGGGCATTAATTTCAGTGCTTAGCATGTTACCGCAGTAAAAAAATATACGATTAGATTATTAATAGCTGGTTTAAACAAACATCAAAGCGTGCAACAAAACTGGTTGAGATCATAAGTACATGAAGGAAGATACTTGAATTAAGACATGCTTACGAATCGTAAAACACTTGAATTACAAATCCGTCGACTATGGCAAGCGAGTTCTGGCGATGACAGGTGGTGGGCGTTAAAGTGCTTGTACACGGGGACAGTACTGGCGGCAAGTAGACCAGAAAAATGCCAAATGTCTGCCGCTTGGTGTCTATCCCGCAAGGAAGCTTAGACACGAGTTTAAGGTGTCGCCGTGACGGTATCTAGTCGTTACCGGCACGGCGACACCTTAAACTTGTCTCGTGTCATATATGCTTCCTTGCGGGATAGACACCAAGCGGCAGACATTTGGCATTTTTCTGATCTACTTACCGCCAGTACTGTCCCCGTGTACAAGCAAAATTACTTTACTTGTTTATGCCTGACCGAAATTGTGCGAGTGCCGCCGTACGGTATCTACAACTAACTTCAAAATTACACTCATTTATAAACATGATCTGCAGTTAATGAACGCAAAAATATTTCATGAATAAGTGAAATAAATCTGCATCTCGGGAAACGAACTTCTATTCAGAGTAATTTATTCTTTACTTTGTGCACAACTTAGTCAGCAGCCATGTAAGTTCTCGAAGGAGGACAAGCGTATAAGCTAGTCCAGACTACTAACATGAAGAATATTCACAATGGTATAGTTTTGAGCTTAATTAACGTATTGTAGCATATTAAGCACTGCACTACTACTTCGCTGGACGCATGCAGATTTCAGTTAAAAAATTCATTAACTGGTTACATTAAACAGTGCGTGGACTTTGAATTAGTGCACTCGTAATATAAACCATTAACATAACCCACTAGAAAAGTTATCTCAGAATTAAAATCCCAATGACTAGTGAGTGAATGCAGGAAACAAAGGATTCGATTAATTACTTCTACGGTCAGTAGAATCTCCAAAATCAGCAGGACACTTACCACGCGCTTCGATGTCGAACCGTGCGCTTCGAAGATAAACCAAACAAATTTAAACCCGATTATAGCTACTGATTGAATATGCTTTGTCAGTCAGGCAGGTGAGTCGTCAACGCGTCACAGCAATGCACATCAGCACGTGCACATCAGCAATGTGCAGTTATGTTTAGCAACGGCTTTTCGTTGGGTTGGGTGAAAGCGCAGGATGCTGTGAGTTAGGTTTGGGTAAGGATGGTAATCCAAAAGCAAGGTCGTAGACAACAAGCAGCAATTCAGAGTACTCACTCCTTTCTCTAGAGCAGAGTGTGGGCCCACAACAAACTGTTTGATCGATGGAAGACTTTGTGAAGAACTAGTCAGAGATGTGGAGAACCTAGGGGTGCCGCACTTGCGTAGTCACGTCACGTCACGTCACAGCATCAAATGTCTCGAACGTCGGGTAAGATTGTACCGTACTAATGCTTATTAATTCTGTGTAGTTCAACCCCACATAGCAATAAAGTTTATTGTAATAACTAAATAAGGTTATAAAAAATGCGCCACTGGACAATTTTCCTTGAAAGTGATCGAATTCGTTTTCATCTTACGTCAAAATTTGAAAGCTTTTGGAAGATAAAATGGATTTCCATTTGTTTCGTCTTGCAATCAATCCCGTTTATTTCAAGTTACTAGATATGAAAATTGAAATATACTGAATAAATATACAGCATCATATTGTTCTGTTGACATGCACTATAAGTTAACTACGACCGAGATGGGAGAACGACTAAAACTAATAAAAGTTTATTGGATGGACGCTTCGTAGACATCCTTCGACACCTGTCTTCGAGATCCTTGATCATCGATGAGGTAATAGACGTAGTCAACAGTTGAATCAGTGCTATAGCTTTTTTTGCTCGTTTCAGAGCTCTCTTTCACTGATTTATAGTCATAGGTCGAGGACTTCCTTGAAACTGTTGAGGAAGAATCTTTTTCGATAGAGATTTTGCTTGATTCGTCTGATTTTCTCAGGATCGAGCCAGTCGTCACATTTTGATCATAATGCGATGATTCAATGGGTTTATCGTCGATATGAACGTTAGACTCGTTCTCGCTTTCCGTTACACTCAAAATTGACTTCGCATCGTCCTCAGATTCCTTAAACGTAACTTTGACGCTGCTAGGTATCGACAACTTTGACTGACGCTTCCGGTCCCACTTTTTTTCCTGTAGAACTTCTTTTCGAACACCGTCAGAATCTGTCACCCAAACCTTTTTAACGTCGTTATCCAGGACATTGATTTTTGCATGGGAACGACTGGTGTCAGTTGAGTCTGATTTCAAAATAGATGGCTGACTCTTTGAACCATTCTGATATTGCGTATGACAAGTTTTTTGGGGCAGGGATTCGTCGTTTTTCTTATAGTGCGGATGTCCAAATTGATCCACAGAATATTCGAGATTTTTGAAATCTTTTGTAACTTTTCGACGAATTCCGTACTCATCTGTGATCCAGTAAGTTGTACCATCGTCTTTTTCTGTAGATTTTTCGTCAGGTGTTGCTTTCTTTGGTGTGGACGATGACGGCTTTTTCTCGGATGGCTTAACTTTGTCATCGGTAGATTTCCGGCGACCGAATTTATCCACTGTATAACTTTTCTTTTCATCCCTTGTCACTTGCCTCCTCACCCCATATTCATCCGTTATCCAATAAGTGACTGCATCAGAGGACTTCTCCGGACCCTTGGTAGTGGGTTTAGTCGGTGAATCGGTAGGAGCATCTTTCTTGGAAGGTGTATCATCACTCACATACTTCGGATGTCCGTACTGATCTACAGTGTAAGTTGCTTGATGATCCTTTGTAACTTGGCGACGTATGCCATACTCATCAGTAATCCAATAGGTGACATTATCGGCGGAGTTTTCCGTACCCTTGGGAGTGGTTTTGGTCGGCGGATCGGTAGGAGCATCTTTCTTGGAAGGTGTGTCATCACTCGCATATTTTGGATGACCGTACTGGTCTACAGTGTAAGAAGCTTGATGATCCTTAGTAACTTGGCGACGGATGCCATACTCGTCAGTAATCCAGAAGGTTTGAGTTTCCTCAACATTTTCGCTCTTTTGTACTTCAATGGTTTCTTCTCTATCAGTTCGACCATGAGACCTAAACTCATAAGATGCATCATTCCGCGATGCGATGATCTCGGAATTCTTGTTTTCTGTTGGTGCCATTTCCCGTTTACCTGTCGGCTCTGGGCCGCCTCTTTCTGAGTTGCCATTATGACTTAAAATATTCCCAGGGAAGAAAGTATTCTCGGAAAGTTTGGGAATGTTTAATTTTGGATCGAACGAGTCAGATGGCCCATTAGATTGCTTGACGGAATCTATCGGATGCGGTCTCGAACTTGGAAAATCTTTACCTTGTAATGGCTTGCACACAAGTTTAGTGTTCCTAGTGTAAGTATCAGCTCCAAGGTACTCTCTTTCGATGTCTTTCACTGTTTTTTCCAAGTAGGTGCCATCTTTGTGAATCTTTTCAGAAGCTACCTTCTCCGACTTATAGATCTCAACACTGTCATGTTTACGGGGACAGGAAAGCTTGCGACCCTTTGGACTGTGGTCAGCACGTTTCTGAGGAGACAACGGGGCCTGACTTTTAGTGCAAGGATGTTTCTTTTCTTCACGTTTCAGCTTCGGTTCAGTGGTTTTGACGGAACTTGTTATGGGACTTTTTGAATTAGACAATTTAGTTGAAGTCCTTGTGTCTTCATTCGTGACCTGTGACTCATCATAAGTTTCCACGACTTCAACGGAACTAGTTATGGATTTGTGGACTCCTAGGAAGGACTCGGTGGCAGTTCGAAGCTGCTTGGTAGTATCTCCCCTTTCAGGCTTTTCTGGAGCATCACGAGACACTGGTTTCTTTGGGGCGTGTAGAGGCTTTTTCTCCTTGAGAGCATCTTGAGGCTGCTTTGAAGCAACTCGTGGCTGCTTTGAAGCATCTCGAGGCTGCTTTGGAGCGTCTTGAGGCTGCTTTGGAGCCTCTCGAGGCTGCTTTGGAGCTTCTAAAGAAATTGGTTGCTTTGGAGCATGTTGAAACGTTGACTGTTCCATAGCATCTTGAGACTCGGGATATTTTGCAGCATCTCGAGGCCTAAACTCTTTGGTTGAGCCGTGAGAAATGGGCTCCTTGGGAGCCTCTTGACACTTGGGCTCCTTAGGATTATCTTGAGACTTGGGCTCCTTAGGGCGAGCATCTTGAGACTTGAGCTCATTGGGAGCATCTTGAGACGTGGGCTTCCTTGGAGCATCTTGAGACTTGGGCTCTTTGGGAGCATCTTGAGACGTGGGCTTCCTGGGAGCATCTTGAGACATGGGCTCCTTGGAAGCATCTTGAGACTTGGGCTCCTTGGGAGCATCTTGAGACTTGGGCTCCTTGGGACCATCTTGAGACTTGGGCTCCTTGGGAGCATCTTGAGACTTGGGCTCCTTTGGAGCATCTTGAGACTTGGGCTCCTTTGGAGCATCTTGAGACTTGTGCTCCTTGGGAGCATCTTGAGACTTGGGCTCCTTGGGAACATCTTTAGACTTGGGCTCCTTGGGAACATCTTTAGACTTGGGCTCCTTGGGAACATCTTTAGACTTGGGCTCCTTGGGAGTATCTAGAGTTTTTGGCTCTTTCAGAGTATCTAGAGACTCTGGTTCTTTAAGAGTATCCAGAGGCTTAGGCTTTTTGGGAGCATCTTGAGACTGAGGCTCCTGGGGAGCATCTTGAGACTTGGGCTCTTTATGAGTATCTCGAGACTTGGGCTCTTTAGGTGTATCTTGAGACTTGGGCCCTTTAGGAGCATATTGAGGCTTAGGCTCTTTGGGAGCACCTCGAGACTTCGTTTCCTTGGGGTAATCTCGAGGCTTGTGCTCTGTGGGAGTGGCTTTAGTCTTGGACTGGTTGGGAGCATGCAGGGGCTCAGGCTGTTCGGTAGCATCTCGAGGCTTGGGCTCATTAAGAGCGTCTACACACTGTTTAGCTTCAGGTTTCTTTAAAGTTTGCTTCTCTATATCCTCGGGCTGCTCTGTTGCGTCACCATATTTCGGCTGGAAAGACGAAATATGGGAGTCGGGTGAGCTTGCTCGTCTGTCCGTTCGACCTGGAGAAGTTCGCGGAGGACTTTTTCCTCCTGTTACCATTGGTTCTCGAGATGCAGGATGACCATGTCGCAAGCAACGAGGTTGGGTTGTCTTTTCACGTACTCCTGGACTTCTTGAAGTGGTTGGCACAGCGGAGTCAGTCTCCCGACGCGGATATCGCTTAGGAGAATCGGGTCTTGATGTCGGAGATGATGATACCGTTTTTTTATCGGGTTCTCTCATTTGAGACGTTGATGGCTTTTTACCCTCTGAATCTCTCCTATGAGGTGACTTTGATGGCAGTCTTGTCTCCGGTTCCTTTCTTCGAGGAGACGTAGATAGCTTCTTTTCCTCCGGTAATCTCCTTTGAGGAGACGTTGATGGCTTTTTACTTTCTGATTCTCTCCTCAGAGGAGACTTTGATGGCTGTCTTGCCTCCGGCTCCTTTCTCCGAGGAGACGTGGACAGCTTCTTTTCTTCCGGTTCTCTCCTTTGAGGAGACGTTGATGGCTTTTTACCCTCTGATTCTTTCCTCTGAGGAGAGAGTGATGGCTTTCTTTCTTCTGGCTCCCTCCTAGAAGATGTTAAAGAGTTTCTTTCCTGCTGGTCTCTCCTTTGAGGGGACGTTGATTGATTTCTTTCATTCAATTCTCTCCTTTTTGGAGACATAGACGAATTTCTAGTCACTGGGTCTATCCTTTGAGGAGACATGGATGATTTTCTCGTCTCGGCCTCCTTCCTCTGAGGAGATTTTGACGGCTTTCTGCTAAATAATTCTCTACTTCCAGTAGAAGATCCTTTGGTCGACTCTGTGGAACTGACATTCTGAGAAGTCGGACGCGGCGCAGGTTTAGTCAAGGATGACTTGACATAAGCTCGTGGAGTGGTCAGCTCTTTGTCAGGTTTTACATCCTCCCTGGAATTGGTACGTCGGGAAGGGGAACGCTTTTCAGTGTCATATCCTGGTTGCCTCGCAACGACCTCATCAGGAGTAACGGGTGGTTCAACCAGGGATGTCGGCAATTTCTTCTCAACAGAACGACCAGGAGAAGAATCTTTGGGTATAGTGGTTCTCGCAGGAGTTACAGATTCTGCGCGAGTATCAATTTTCTTCCTGTCATCTCTAGACACCGTTTTAGTTTGTTGAGCCTCGGTGCGCTTGATACCTACAACAACTTCCCGAGACACTGAACTCGACATGGTCTGCTGAGTGTGGTGCTTCAAAACGTTTTTCTGACTTTCCAAACTTTCAATTCGAGTGATATCTTCCTGTTTCGCCTTGCGAACACTTTTCTTTTTTTCATTCTTGATTTTTTTTGCAGACGATTTGACATTCGATGTTTTCTGGACATCCTCATTGCTTGAGCTAGACGAGGAGCTCGAAGAAGAGGATGAAGAGGAAGAGCGGCTGTCAGACCGCTTACTGGCTTTCGGTTTCTTGGTCTTTCGGCTGCGCGATTCTTTTTCAGTCACCGCAGATACCTTACGACTTATGGTGCTGGTTTCCGTTACAGCAGATACTTTACGGCTCACGACACTGGATTGCGTCACAACAGATTGTTTCTTAGAACTAACAACTTTTGCATTAGTCACGTCAGAGTCAATGCGAGTCACGTCAGAGTCAGTCGGAGTTCGAGTCTGACGTTTTGAACCTGCGTGAGGCAAAATCCGAGAGGTTTATCAGATGGTTCAGGAGAGGAAGCTACTTTTTGCAGGCTTGTACAAGCAAAAGTCAAATCATAACGGTTGCCAATTACACATTCCACTCGACGTCGTAAAACATTTATTCAAGGATCGTTTGGCTATAGGGTTGACGGGCTTGTAATGGTTTTAAGCGGGTTCACATAAATTTAAGGATAATTTTTCACTGTAATTTATTTTAATAAAACAAAAATTTGCAAGGAAATTTCAAATTTCAAGCCATGCTGAATGATCCTTAGTAAGGTTTTGCGGCATCGAGAGCAAATGATGTTGAAACATTGAACTTGTTTGTTCAGTAAATATGTGTTCAACTATGTACACAGTGAGGTATATTTACACTCTACTCTAAAACACAAGCACCATTACTATTATACAAATGAAATAATATGGGCACAATTTACATGCAGAAATACTTTACGTGAAGGAACAGAAATATGTACAAGCTTGTATGTATGTGATATCGCTGTAAGAAGCAACAATGTTTTTGAAGCTATCAGTTCGTCGCAACGGCAACGACGATGTAGATAAAAGAGAAATCATTTATTGTGTTCATTTGCTATAGCCTTCCCACACCATCCCATTTCTAGTATTTTTGAACAATAAAAATGGCACTTCAAGTCACTAGTTACATTTTACACATGCGAAAAAATCACCGTAAACTGTAGGGCGCCCATTGAATAAGACTATATGAGAAACTATGGATTTCTCGACTACGCTGAAGCTTGGCCTTCTGCGTTAAAATCATTAATTTAGATTACCGACGGTAAATCTAATGACGATATACTTAGCAAGGAAAATCTTCTAAACGATAACGTCAACTTCTACGAGCCTCGAAAAATACAGTGGTGGGTGAATCGTTCACGGTGATGATAATTTCACACAATACCGACGTATTTCTCAGCTGCCGACGTCACGAGGGAAAGGCACAATAAGCAAACTGCCAAGCTTCAAAACTAAACCAACGCAGGCAAAAACGTCATGCCCAGCCCAACAAAATTTACATTGGTAACCTGACAGCTCATGTACCTCGAGACGCTACACGGCCAGAGTGCTATATGTGGCTGCACAGCTGGTGCACAGCAAGACGCTGCACAGCTGGTGCACAGCAAGACGCTGCACAGCTGGTGCACAACAAGACGCTACACAGCTGGTGCACAGCAAGACGCTACACAGCTGGTGCACAACAAGACGCTACACAGCTGGTGCACAACAAGACGCTACACAGCTGGTGCACAACAAGACGCTGCACAGCTGGTGCACAACAAGACGCTGCACAGCTGGTGCACAACAAGACGCTGCACAGCTGGTGCACAGCAAGACGCTACACAGCTGGTGCACAGCAAGACGCTACACAGCTGGTGCACAACAAGACGCTGCACAGCTGGTGCACAGCAAGACGCTGCACAGCTGGTGCACAGCAAGACGCTACACAGCTGGTGCACAGCGAGACACAGCGCGACTCCTCACTCAGTAGCAGCCAGTCTCACGAGATTAATTTCGTCTAATCCACGACACCAACTGCATCCTCAACCACTCGCGCGTAGGCATCCCCTCCTCAACATGACGAACACTCCATAAAATATATTCGCTTTTAAACGAATATAACGATTATGGCCACGGTAATTACCATTGGCGGGCTGCGAGAGCTTGATTTCGGAGTAGGAGGTCTTGCGCTTAGGCTCGGCGAGGTCACCGTCGTCTCCGGCGCGGCGGTCGAACTCTTCGGACAGCGTCGTGATCTGCTCTTCACTGAGGTGCTCCATGAACTCGCTCGTGTCAACCGTCGTGCCTGCACGCGAGCAACCAAACCATGGTGAGCTCGGGACTAGGGCAGACACGCAGACAACCAGACCGTGGTGACCTCGCGGACTAGAGCAGACACGCAGACAACCAGACCGTGGTGACCTCGGGGACTAGAGCAGACACGCAGACAACAAAACTGTAGTGACCTCGGGGACTAGGACAGACACGCAGACAACAAAACTGTGGTGACCTCGGGGACTAGGGCAGACACGCAGACAACCAAACTGTGGTGACCTCGGGGACTAAGGCAGACACGCAGACAACCAAACTGTGGTGACCTCGGGGACTAG